TGCAGATGGAGAAAGAGGAAGGAGGTGGGAAAAAAGAGCTGACCGAATTTATAGGACATCCAAGGGGATAAGCTAGATTTTCTTCTATCACCCCCAGATGCCTGGAAACATATGGCGTCGTTTCTATGATCTTTGCATGCAAAAATGCACGATATAAAGACGGCAAATGAATATAATCTAAAATCAGCTCCTCTGGAAGATAGGGTTTGAGGACAGGGAGAGAGGGACATTTGTGAGCATCCAAAAGTTTTACAAAGCTGAAGTGTCATATGGGCCAGGTTGCCTCACAGGCCTTCAGCTCCAGAACCAGTTTATAATACATTGTTCTCCACTGGAATTTGCGAAGAAGTAACAAGCAGTTCCCTATCAACATGTGGAGAGTGGCATTCTCTCAATGACAGAGCAAAAACTGAATTTTGAACTGTTAGATTGAGTCCACCTGTCATCAGCTGTATCTGTTTGGCACACTTATCAATCCGAGCCGGAAGGAGCTCATTTTCCCTTCTTCCTCTGGGCTTCTTTAGGATGGCATGTCCCCTGTCTTGAGATAAAGTCTAATGTCCATGCAGAGAGAAATTGCAAGAACTGGACCAGTTAAGCAAATAATAGCCTGACTCCTTAGTTATGGTTCTTCCTCATGAAATGTTATGCATTTCCATGGCGAGTAGACCCTGGAGAGAAAACTAAAACTCTGCAACTTCAGGTCAGAGTGGAGATCAAGAAGCCCTGGGGTCCAACCGTGTGGGTTTTCATGTTATGATCACTAATGTTGTATGAAGTTGTTGAATTTCTTACTTCTGGAGAAAGTGATTAGAAGGTGGTCATTTAGACCCCCTACCTTTTAGAATGATTACATGTCAAGCAATGAAACCAGAAGTTCCTTGACAGCTTTAGGACACAACAGCACTCTTTGAAACAGCAATTATGTGAGCAAAACTCCAGTTATATAATACTCACACTGGAGAGGGGACACACACACCATTTTTGTTGATTTCTCCTTTGCTCTGCAGCCCTTTGTGCCTCTGAAAGCTGCTCCAGCTGGCCAGACCCCCCCCCCTGCAAGTTTGGGAGGTGGTAGTACAGCCATAGGGGAAACTGATGAAAATCCCTCCTCTCCCTCTTCACCAGCAGAGCTTTTGTTAGATTTCAGGGACAATATTTAGCTAATCCCGTGTTCTGCTATGCTCAGCAGAGGGATGAATAGATTTTTTCATTTCAGTCACACTGAGAACTATTTTTAAAATAATTGTTGTTTTATGTTTTCCTAGCTTTAAAAAACAAGCCACTGAAAATGCTCAAACAGCATTGGATGTCATGAAGACCGTCAGATAATCTTCTGGGTTTGTCCTATTTTGTAAGTTGGACCTCTTGCCCCCCTGGATCCCTCTGGTCTTGCCTATTCTGCTTCCCTGGACCAGTCAGGCCTTGAGTCTTTGGCCTCCTTGGAATTTGCATCCAAATTTGTCTTTTCAGATTCCCTCGACCTCAGCTCCAGTTCATCAGAGTCTTGGGACTGCTCCAGTGATACTGCTTCATCCTCTCCAGGCCTTTCTGGTTGTGCCTCCTTGCCTTCTCCAGAGCTCTCAAGCCCTTCTTCTTCATCATCTCTGGACTTCTCCAGCATCTCATCATCTGTTTCCATAGACCTCTCCAGTCCTGCCACCTCAGGCTCCTGGGAGCGTTCCAGTATCAGCTCTTCAATCTCACTGGACATTTCTAGCGTCGCCTCTTCTGACTCTCCAAACCTTTCTAGTCTCAGCTCTACAGTCTCATTAGACCTTTCCAGTCTTACTTCTTCAGGATCTCTGGACCTTTCCGAGTCCACATCACAATCCTTTCTGCGACTCACCCGTCAAATCCCTCTGGACTTGCAGGATCTCCACTATGCAGTCTCTTCACCCTCTCTGGATGTTTCCGATCTCACCTCTTCATCTTCCTCTGGTTCATTAGACCTTACCAGCACTAATGAATTAAAGTTCCAGTATTCCTCTGATTCATCTTCTTCAAGCTCTTTGGATGTTTCTGATTTTGTATTTCCCACATTTCTGGACACCTCCACTCTCTCTGCTGAAGATGCCCCATTGTGCACTTCTTCAATATCCCAGGAGGTTTCAAACTTCACCTCTGAACAGGAGCAATCTAATCTCACTTTCCTGGATTTTTCCAGCTATACTTCCTCAGCAACTTCCAGTGGATGCAATCATCTAACTCCACCATCTTCCCCAGTTTACCCTTTCTAACCTCTTTAGGCTGTTCTACAAACTGTTGTTATCCTGGAATTTATGTAATTACTGTTTTCTGTGTCAATGTTTTCTGAACATAGCAAAAATTGTTCCAGCATTTCATCTACAACATTTAAGCTAACATACATATGAACTAGGAACCTCATTTCTGCTAAGGCTCCTGTGTCTTTTACATACATTTGTGGCAGGCGGAAGTTCAGCATCTGAATTTTGATAGCTGCATGCATAGGAGCTCTGGCCAGAGGAAAGTTGGCAACACTAGTGATAACAAATCTATAAAGATGCCTTGTTATAGGTACCCTATCTGGTTACTAAACCTAATTGTCCTTTTCTTGTGGGGAGAGGTTCACTTTTAATTTTCTTTCTCTCAATTCTACTTTCCCTTTTAAACTTTTACCATTTTAATCAGTGCACTTGAAAAACACAATATAACCCTTGGTTATTATCTTGCAATACTAATATTACTTGGAATTAACCCGAGGATTGACTGCAGTAGGCCAGATTTTCACTGCGTTACTCCTATAGTCAATAACACTATGCCCCCCCCTTTCCTCTTACAAGCCATATTGTAAAAGCGAGCCTGAAAGTTATGTAAGATGCTGAATGTCCTTTGATTCAGTGTTACAACACCATCTGACCAATTTCTTCTCAGACGTGGCATCTGAAATCTTGTGTGTACCAAAAAATAATTTGCAGTTGTACATTTTATGTGCTGAAAAATGTTGCTCCAATGTACCGTATATGCCTCATAAAATAAAACAACTAGGCCTTTACTTTATGACAGATTATAAAGATTTAATGGGAACACCACTGCCTTTCTTTTGAACATGTGTCCACAAGAAGAGATGAAAGACAGGGAATTAATAGCAGAAAAGAGACATGAAGAAAGGAGAGGCAAGGTTCAAGGTGTTCTTTTAGATCAGAAGACCATTATTTGGATACTGACAGGTTCTGACTTATCCCATAGGGAGATTTCTGTGTTCCCAGACTCCTTGGACACATTCAGATCCACAATATAGGCAATTATCACATTTTGCTATTAGTGTTGGCTGAAATTAACATACACAATGTAAATGAAAGTGCTTGTCTGCAAAGCCTCAGACACCTATTCCAGACATTGCTTCCTGATGCAATTCCACTGCAGGTTTGAAGAAATAGAGGCCTTTTACATTCCATGTGTTTATTGCAGAAAATATTGATGGAATCCTAGCCGAGCCACAATACATGCATTTACAGAACAAAGTGTGAAGTTGAGAACTGCTTCTGCAGCTCACCTGTGCACAGGCGCTTCCGCATACATTGGATCCTACCAGTCCATAATACTGTCTGGTACTGCTTTGCAACCTGTGTGGATAACCTCTATACAACTTGCCTTCCCTGTAAACCCCTCCCCCACATTACTTGTGCACTGTGGTCTCAGACCAGCAGACTGGGAACACTTTTTAAAGAGGAGGAGTAATTTCAGATGTAGAACTAGAAGGCTTGCCATCAAACCACCAGCTCACACATCTATGCAGGAAGTACAGAAATGTGTCCCCAGTATCTCACATTGTGACACAGAAATCACAACACACACACATATTTCAGTGGGTGTCCATGCTGTGAGTGGTTACTGCCAACTCCAGCTGTCTGCCAAGATTGTGTGTCTGTGCAGAGAAATATGTTTAATCATTTTTCCTGCATATCATGCATTTCATTTCATTTTTTTAAATTTCTGTTTTATTGAAGTTGGATTTGTTTGAAAGCCAGCCATTAGCATCATACTCTCTATACCATTCAATAACCAGAGTTCTCTGGGCAGTTTACAACATAGGTTTTTCTCAAGTTGCCCTGAGATAATGCTCACTCAGCAGCCTGTGTCATGTTGCAAGAGACAATTCTAGAGTAATACTACCTCTGGAGTTTGCAGACTACATTGCAGAGTATGTAAAGCACTTACATACAGTGTAGACAAGCAAGGTATATGCAGGATACAGCCTACGGAAGCAGAGTATATGATGTGTTCAGTTGCACACCTGACCCCAGACAGACTGATGCAAGATGTGTCCCAATCCCGATGACATGTTCACCATGGCTGGGTTACAGCACAATAATCCACACGTAAGAGTTGAACATAGATTGTGGTTTAATCCTGGATGCCCTGAACCCAGCTAAGAAAGCCATGGTGAACAACCTCGAGGGCACAGTCCAACAATAAATCCTGGTTTCTCTTCATGGGTTGTTCACACAGCAGGCAAGACAAGATGCGCTGCTTCCTGGACTAACAGTTACCTCATCGTACTTAGACTTGCCACCCATCCCACTGGGTTCTTGTGCGATTGGCAGCTGCATAGCAAGAAGTGAAACAGGTGCACCTTCACGCGCCCAGCGGGAGCATATCCACCTAGCGCTCAAACAGGGGGTTGCATCCAATGCTAACCTAATGGAAGTTCCATTCATTTCAATAGAGACTAACAGCAGGCACTCAGACTACTCTAAGTGAGACTAACATTGGATACAAGCCACCCGAACTTACAGGGAAGCGGCGAATCGAGAGAACTGCGTCTCCCGGGCGGATTTCGCTCTTGCCCTGACCAGACACGGGCTTACCCCAAGGAAACAGTTCCAACCAGGAAGGAACCCTCCCAAATCAGCGCTACGCAGCCAATGGGAACGTCCGATAGGACAGCACCTCGCACTCCGATTGGTTACTTTCTCCGCGAGGCGGATTGCTTCTGATGGGCTGCCGGGATCCGAGGGTCGTCCTCGGTCGGCGGCTCGGCTCTGCTTGGCTTCCGCTTCCGGTCTTTTGTGCTTCCGGGTTCGGAGCGGCTTGAGCCGCGGGACTGCCCGACCTTGGCCCTAGGCGAGAGGGTTGTCTTCGGCCTGCTTTGCAGCTATGGTGTCGTACTGGAGGCAGGCCGGGCTCAGGTACGGGTGGCTGAGGCCGCCGGGGGCTCGCGACTCGGCGTTGCTCCCGTGTCGGAGTTCGCTCCTCCCCGAAGGCCGAGGGCTCTTGAGAAGCCTGGCGGGGCGCTTGCCCTCCAGTCGCCTCCTCCCGTGCGCCTCCTCCGGAGGGGGAGCTCCAGCCCAGAAACAGTGGGGCGATTTCGGATTCCAGGCCCCACTCAGGATGCAATCCTATGCGTGTTTAGAAGGAGGGAGTCTAGCTGTTATGGTTAATCGTTTTCGTTTATTTCATTTCAGTCCTAGACTGGGTGGTTCACAATAATGCTTAAAAGCTTGCAATACAAATACAGTCGAAATTTCGGTGCATGCAAATTAAGACACTCTGAGCCGCTCTAAGCCATTTTCAGTGCAGTCAGGCCAGCATAAAAGCCCCCTCCCATGCCGTTTGATGCACTGAATGCCTCAGAGGACAAGGTGGTCTTGATGTGGTATTCCAAAGATAACAGTTAGTTTAACATGGGCCTGAGTGGGGTGATAATTCTGCAATTGGGGGCCACCATTGAGAAAGTGTTCCCCTTTGTTGCTGCCTTCTGAGGTGACACTCGAGATGTTGATCATTGTATTCAGGTAGATTCAAGGTGAGAAAGTGCTTCATAAGCTACTGCAGTTCCACGATTAGAACCAGTACCTTGAACTGGGCTTGGAAGCATACAGGCAACCGATGCAGACTGGTTAGAACTGGTGTTACATGTTTGAGCTTTTTGTTCCATTTATTAATCTGGTGGCCACATTTTGTACAAGCCTCGGGATTTGACTCATATTCAATGTAGAGTGCGTTGTAATATAACTTAGGGATAACTACAACAAAGATGACTGAAGCCAGACTATCCCAACAGCTGGAAAAAATTGGGTTTTTAAAATCTAAGCCTGCATAGCTGGTTGAATCATGCTGAGAATTGTAGGAGGTTATTAATTATTCCTCTGATTTCTATTTCCCCCCAGCTACATCCGGTATTCCCAGATCTGTGCTAAGGCAGTAAGAGCAGCACTAAAACCACAGTATAAAACAGAGGCCGAAAAAGCAGCTGTGACCAATGTAAAAATAGTGAAACCTAAAAAGGAATGACATGTAAGTAAGTGAGGAAGTTCTTGAGAACCCATTTTTGCAATAACTCACAGTTTTCTTTTCTAGAACTGTTAAATGCTTCAGATTATTCACACAACCTTCAAAAAGAGAAACTTGGGATTGGATGAGACAGTATATGGAATGGGCTTCTATGGGAGGTGGTTGAAGCCCCATTGGTGAGGGTGTTCAAGGATAGGCTGGACATGCACATGGTAGGCAGGTCACTAGTGGAGCCAGCTGGAGCTGGGGGTCAGCCTGGGAGACCCCTTCTGACTTGCTGTTTCTATTTTTCTAATGTACATAGTCCTCTAAGAACTGGATGGTACAACAACTAAAATTGTTAAGATCTTTTTAATAGGCTAATGAGATTTTGTACATATCCAAACAAGAGTTGTGGATATGATACTATGAGATGCTAAGGTGCTACAGTTCCATGGATAACAGTGGAATGTTTAGCTGTGCTTTTGCTTCTACTCTAGCTGGCTGGACAGCGCTGAGTGTTGTAGGACATTTCCGGTCTAAACATGTAAAACTAAGGATGAGTCTATAGAAGTGGCTTACTACTTCTGTAATGGGAACTACCATAGCTAATACAGTGAGGAAAGCATGTGTATGCTTCCCTCCTCATACTCCTCGGTGTTGTGGCCATTGTAAATCCTCTGCACTCGGCTAAATGTGAGAATGGATTATATCAAGCAACCTTATACTTGCCAAACCATTGGTCCATATAGCCCAGAGTGCTCTCTGGATCTCAGCAGAGGCCCTTCCCAGTGCTGCCCCCGGCAGCCTGTGCATTGGAGAATCTTCTGTTGTTGGAGCTTGAGTTTGCTTTGAGAACAGCGTCTTATTGAAATCCCTTTTCTGGTTCTTTAACTGGAAGCTTGCTTTTGTAGTATCAAGTAATTCAGCATAGCTGAAACAACACTGGAGCAGTGGTCCCAAATGTAGCACCTGTGAGCACCTCCAGCAGAACCCCATTGTGGTGCTGATGATGCCAGTTTTTTAAAAATCCTTAGATGCTTAATATACATGCACAGATTTATATGACATGCACACAGCTTCCCAGCAAATGTATATAAGCTTCAATAAAAGCAAATAACGAGTCATTTGAAGTCAGTGTCTGTATGTCTTTGTCCATATACCAAAGGTGTTGTAAGGTCTGTAGACCAGTGCATTATAGGAAGTGAATGCTTATTCTTCCAGTGTCAAAATAGCTGTCTTTTAGCATACAAAAGGACCCAGCAAATCTTTTTCCCTTCCACTTGTTATTTTCCATGAAGCAGGTAAATAATTTAAATGTTGACTTTTAAATATGTTCCAGTCTAAAATCTAACTCTGTGATAAACTCTTCACATAAAGAAGCGATTTTAGACATTGCCAAAACATGTTTAAAAGTACTCTTAGCTGTATTGCACTGTTAGCAATTAGCCAGATACTGCAATCCATTATTAAAGAGTTGTTGTGGTTCTAATAGACATGAAACAAAAATTTTGCCGAATTGCTGCAGTCTAAGATGTGCAAGATCCATAGATGCAAAATGTAGATGCCAAAATAGTGAATCACTAATTAGGCATTTTGTTCTGGTGCTCATAGTGGTTTCCCGAATTCCCGGATGGGTTCACTGGTCTAAAAAGCAAAAGGATCCTTGCTATATGGTTTCTTGAATAACTGTGAAACATGGGTAGAAACTGCTTTAGAATTTTTAGTTTCTCTGGCTTTGTGCAGCAGTTTCCTGACTCATTGGAATAACTTAGTGGATGCCAACCTCATAAGTGAAGAGAATAATATACTAAAATAGTTCTTAGGATGTCTATTTTGATCCATAGTCTGTTTAATAATATTTATTTCATGTTTTATTTGTCTTACAGGGCCTGATCTATAAAGGGCAAAATGAGAGCTTATGGGCATGTTTGTGTACAACATAACTGCATCCTCAATTAAATTTCTCTCTGTAAATCAGATGCCAATAAATGGAACTTTGTGAAAATGCGCTTTATGAATATTCTTTTACTGAGCAAAAGCAGTGCAGCATTGTGGGTGATGATACAGCAAAACTGGGTTTTACTAAGTTGTGCTTTATCTGTCTACTTGTAAAATAAAAGAGGATGTGTCATCACCAAAATGCCAAGACACTGAAACCTAGATATCTAAAGCCTGGCAAGCTAAGAGGATTCTAGAGTTGTGCTGCTTGTACTTAGTTCATGCTTGTACTTCGTTCATTTTTAAAAACAGAAGAAGGTGCTGTAGCACTCTGGTCTGTATGCTGCCTGCCTGGGAATGCTGGGAGTTTTAGGATTTTTTCTGCTTGAGCTTGCAAAGGATTGCTCCTTTTTTGTTTTTATTTAAATGTGTCAATGTTTGAAGCTTAGAGGACCATCCATAGTGGCCAAATGTCAGACATCCTTAATCAGCTTTGCAGTGGATTGTTTAAAGCTGGGGGTGGAGGAATAGTTGGAGGATTACAGTTATACAACAACTGGGGTTGTTTAGCTTAGAGACATGTCAGAGGTCTATGGAATTAAGTATGGTGTAGAGAAAGTGGCAAGGGAGGCATTTTTCTCCCATAATACTAGAGCCCAGGGTCCTCCTATGAAGCTGATTGGTGGGAGATACAGGACAGACAAAGGGAAGAACTTCCTCATACAATGCATAGTTAAACCTTGGAATTCCCTGCTCTAGTTAAGTAGTGTTGACCACCAATTTGGGTGGTTTTAAAAGGGGATTGGACAAATTCATGGAAGAGAATGCTATCAAGATCTGCTAGCCTTGTTGGTAAGTGCTGCCTCTGTTAATAGAGGTGGTAGGCCTGAGGAGCTCAAACAGGAGGGATTCTTGTATGTATCCTGTTGGAGGAATCCTGTAGGCAGCTGGCTTGCTGCTATATGAATGGAGTGCCAGGCTAGATGCACTTTTGGTGCAATCCAGCATGGCTGTCCTTTGGTTCTATGCTGGTCTGTGACTGTAATAAAGGATTTGATTTGATTTGAATTCTGTTCCTAAACAGCTACTTTCTCCTCTGGCTTCAGGAGAATAACAGACTCCTCTGTTTTGGGGCTATAGCAGTACAACAAGACAGGCGCTGTCCCTACGAGCACCCATGGGCATAGCTGTGTTCAGTCTGGGCACTCAGAATGTGTTCAGCTAGATCAGCTGCAAGCATTGCTTGAAGAATTCTCTTTTTCAGATGAAAGCTATTCCATCCTGTGCTGGATCTGTTCACAGGTTTGTAAGTGCATAATAAATCCTTTTATTTTCAAATAACCTAATAATCTGATTGTGATAGAGGATTTTTTTCAGTCACTGGCTAGAACAACCCATACTTGAAAATATAATTAAAATGATGCCCCAATATTTGTCATCATTTGTTTTTCGGCGCCAGGCCAAGACCTTTTTATTCAAACAGTATTTTAATAATGTTTAATATTTATAGATTTTAAATGTGCAGCCAGTGTGTTTCCAGGTTTTAATTGTAAGTATTCTGTGAGCTGTCCTGAGGCTATGTAGCAAGGGGATGGCATATAAAAACTTTAAATAAATAAATAAATATGACTTTACAGCTAATACCCAGGGTAAGAAAGAAAATGTAAATTCAGAATTGTTTATCACAGTGCAATCCTTTACATGTTAATTTGGAAGTCATTCCAACTGTGATCCGTGGGGCTTATTCCAGGCTAAGTGGGTAAAAGACTGCATCTTTATTCACTGAGCTAGTGTTAAATATTTAAAATGCTTTGATTCTGCACGGAATGAGTGCTAATGCCTTGGAAACAAAGGCACTGTATATATAAAGGGTTGAATCCAGTGCCGCGTGAGTGGAATCCTGCTCATGTAGTGGTCTGTCTCTGCTCTCTCTTCCCCTTTCAGCCTTCCTTATTTACCCCAGATCTGCTCTGGAGGGTTTCCAATTATCCAGAATCCCTCCAGGACAAGCTTGCAGGAAAGGGGGAACCATGTTACCTTGGGTTTCTAAGTATCTAAAACGTGTGTTCATTCCGGGTAGCTTCTCCTTGGCAAGTGTGGGTGCAAATCTAAGCTGCTGTTATGCTATAGTCCCTGTAAGCAGGTGGTGGTGAGTGGAAATCACTACCCAAAGCCAAACATGTTCAGGAAATATATAATCCGATTAAAAATCCAAAAACCCGAGGCTTCCAAATGCATTCATTTCCACTTCTTGTTGCAGTAGTATCAGCTAATAGTTCAACCAGGTTAGATGAAGTACTATGTTACGCTGGTGTTGTTGGCTGGGCAAGTTGTTCTTTGACAGCCTGTTTAAGACCTGTACAGTAAACATTTGTTTTTTTAAAAAAAAGATTATTGCTTTTCAAGGTTAAGGATGCATGAACACTAAAAAATTAATTTCCCACTTTAGGTTTAGGAATGGATAACATTCACCAAGTTTCATCTCATTTTTATTGTATGTAGTACATATACATAATTAAATAGTGACTAAGGTAAATGGCAGATAACTACTTGTTTGCTGTTACATGGTGAAGTAATGCCAGTGGTTCTTTCTTTTCCTGCTAGCAAAAATCACTTTTATAATAAAAGGAAGCATAATAAATATTTCATATAAGCAACCAGGAGAAATGTATGCAGAAAACTAAGAGCAATTTTCTTACAGTTACTAAACTTTGAATTAAAGAAGCAGAGACTATGCTGCATTAAAGGTTCCTCAGAATGTGGATGTTAAAAGTTATGTAATAGCCAGTGCTCCTTGAATTGTCTGCTGGAAGTGAACAGTGTGGGTTATGACAAAACTTAATACAACTGCTTTATTGTAGAAATGTAGATTCATTACTAGAAACAATTCCAGTTCTCTTAAGTCTGTTAGTATAAGCAACACAGTCCTTTGGCACATTCAAGAATGAACAGGTTGACTGTACGATTGTCTCACTAAATGTCAGTACTCTCTAAAGTTGAGCTGACTGACACATGCTTATTTGCCTAAAGAATGGTTATCTACAGCTACCCTTAGCACAACTTAGCCTTTTGATTTCACAGTTTGAACCACGTCCTTACACAGGCAAAGCTACTCTTGGCAGCAGGTTCCTAGGCATCTTTATTTGATTTCTATACTGCCTATTAACTGAGAAGGTTCTCTTTATGCTGAAGCAAATTGTAGTGTTTCCAGTAGTAGCACAGGATTACCTTAAAATGCTATTTAATGCATCTGATGGGCTCTATATATGAATAAGCATGCTTAATATTCAAGATCCAATGGCATTCTCAACTGGTTTTATTTAAACATAAAGCTATATTTAATAATAAGAAATGAAAAACCTAGCTAACAGATGTTCTACAAATATTTGCTAATAAAATACATGCAGGCAAGCTGTAATTCTCAAATTAAGCAACAAGCCCAACTAGAGCCTTGAGCTGTTTGGCTTACACTTGACATACCAGCTTTGAGGGCTGCAACCTGTAAAGGACAGTAATGACCCCATTGAGCACACTTGGGAATTCACTCCTAGCTTTATGTTAGATCCAGTTTTACTCATGCCCTGAATATACCCATTGAAACTGGTGGTATTTTAATCATGGTTATCTTAAGTCGCATGGATTTCAGGAGGCATATGTATTTTAAGCATGTCTAAATCTACACCATGTCCCCTAACTTCCAACAGTTCAAGGGAGCCATCTTAATCCTACGTTAATATTAAGGTTCACCAAATGAAAGTGTTTGGTGGTAGTAGGGTAGACAAAATAATACCTACCAATATGTTTGACTGGCTCAAAGGGGGACTGTGGCCAGTTTAAAAGAGATAAAGCAGGGGCAACTGGCTTGGTACCCACCTGTGCTCCAGCACTTGCTCTAATGTTGCTCTAGTGGAATATTCAGTAATGCATTGCTGCTTTTTTCAGTTGCCCTAAAAGCTGCTGCTTACATTGCACAAATGCTGAAGAAAAGGAACTTCACTCTGCATGAGGTTCACCCAAGTAAACAGGTTTAATAGTCTGCACCTCAGTGACTGCAGGAGAGGATGCTGAACCCAATGGGGTGTCCTCTGGGAGCAGCAAGTGCTTCTCCTCACAAAGACAAGCCCCTTGCTTATAAAGCATTCCTTAGTTATATGGAGGGGAAAGAAACCTGTCCTGTTACTCTGTATGTAAACTGCACCAATCCAATGTAACAATCAATGAGCACCTGCTTGCTTTGATGTTGATTTGTAATAGGTGCGGACTTCATCTTGTATCAGAACAAAATGTGAGATGTAACAAAATGCAAACTACATCATGGTATTTCACAGGTGTGATTTACTACATCCTGGGTCTTCTCAAGAAAGTGTACTAATCGCCTTCTTGGCACATGTATGTGGCTCACTCTCCCACCGGGCCTAGTTGACCAGAAAAATATTCAAGGCCTGAACATTTCTTATTATATTATATTTGCACCTCACCTCTCCTCTAGCAAGGAACCCAAGATGGTTAACAAGGTTCTCTCCATTCTGTCCACACAATGACCCTGTGAGGTAGGTTAGGCCGTGAGCCAGTGGCTGGCCCAAAGTCTGCCAGTGGGCTTAATGGCTGAGTGGAGACTAGAACCCAGCTCTCCTAAGTCCTGGTCCAGTGCTTATAGCCACCATACCACACTGCCTCTCCGACACAAGCATTGTTGTCAGGCTCGCATTAGGGCAACATCAGCACTAGAACTGGGGCACAGGTAGGTAGGACTTTCAGTGGATTTTACCTGTCACACCATTAAATAGAACCTCTGTGTTGTGGGGCAGTCTTGAGTATGAGATGATGGGCTGGACTGTAGATTCTCTGCCATTCAGGCAGCTTCCTAGAGGCATCTAGTTACCTGGGCAAAAGCTGAACTAGCTGGATCTTCTGGTTTCAGCCAACAATATAGTTCTTACAGTGCATCATAGAAGAAAGCTGCTCTGAAGGAAATAACACACATGCGGCCAATGAACAGATTTTTAAATCCCCTAAAGCAACTGTCAGCTATGCAGCTAGTTAATAAGCTGCTCTTTTTATTTTTGGGAATCAAATACCACTTTGGAATTACTCTGCAGTTGAGTTCAGGAAGGTTCCTTATTCATATGCTAAAGCTAATGGGTGCGGAGAAATGTCCAGGAAGAGTGTAGATCAATCAGACACACGGCCTGGGTGCATATTGGAAAAACTTACTTGGCAATTAAACTTCTATGGCTGATGTAGCTTTGAGAGTGTTCTGGTCAGAAAGCCAGTAAGCATGGAATAAGTCACTAAGTATGGAACATAGTTTCCTTGGTGGAACAAGGAGCTATTCATGCTAAACATTTTCATTCTCTTTGCTATGTTCATTCAGGGTCTATTGTACTGGCTGGATATGTCTCATGATGGAGGTGGAGATAGGCAGCTCCATCCTGGATCTTTTGCTTCTTTCAGCCATCACACCAGTGCATCACTTGGATGTGTGCTTTCAATCCAACAGGCTGCTGTGCTTGTAACATCTTCCTGCTTGAAATACCTTTATTAGCAGATAAAGGCACTAATTCAGAAGAAGCACTGACTTTTTTGGTCAGTTAAACAAAGCTGTGAGCAGAGAGACTCATTCAGGTATATACATCCTTGGAGTCAACAGTGTGGTTGCATATTCTTTGTATTAACATGCATAATAATTGCTTCTCCATTTAATATAATATTAGAGGTCCCTTCAGAAATAGATGTGAGTCCAGCCATCTTATTGGTGATGACTGGGATGCTTTTGGGATCAAAGCTCCATCATTTTTACTTTTAAAGGGCTTCCTGTTCTTCTGGAGCTTCTTCCTCTTCTGCTTCCACATACTCTTCTACAGCTGCTGTGGCATCTTGATATTGCTGGTATTCAGATACCAAGTCATTAGTGTTACCTTCTGCTTCAGAAAATTCCATGTCATCCATCCCTTCGCCGGTATACCAATGGAGAAATGCTTTCCGCCTGAACATGGCTGAAAACTGCTCGGAGATCCTCCTGAAGATTTGCTGAATGGCTGTATTGTTCCCAATGAAGGTGGCAGACATCTTCAACCCACGAGGTGGTATATCACACACGGCCACTTTGACGTTGTTGGGTATCCATTCCACAAAGCGGCTACTGTTTTTGTTTTGCACAGTCAACAGTTCTTCATCCACCTCCCTGGTAGACATCTGGCCTCTGAAGATGCAAGCTACGGTCAAATATCGCCCATAATGTGGATCGCAGGCTGTCATCATGTTCCGTGCATCAAACATCTGTTGGGTGAGCTCTGGAACAGAAAGCGCTCTATACTGCTGACTGCTCCGAGAAGTTAGAGGAGCGAAGCCTGGCATGAAGAAGTGGAGTCGGGGGAATGGCACCATGTTAACGGCCAGTTTCCTCAGATCAGCATTCAGCTGGCCTGGAAAGCGTAGGGAGGTGGTGACACCACTCATGGTCAGGGACACCAAATGATTGAGGTCTCCATAGGTTGGCGTGCGGAGCTTCAGCGTTCTAAAGCAGATGTCGTACAAGGCTTCGTTATCGATGCAGAATGTTTCATCTGTGTTCTCAATCAGCTGGTGGATGGATAGGATCGCGTTGTACGGTTCAACAACGGTATCCGATACCTTGGGTGATGGCACCACGCTGAAGGTGTTCATGATCCTGTCGGGGTATTCTTCCTTGATCTTGTTGATCAGAAGGGTACCCATGCCAGACCCCGTTCCTCCACCAAGGGAATGGGTGAGCTGGAATCCCTGAAGGCAGTCACAGCCTTCGCACTCGTTCCTCACGATGTCCATGACATTTTCAATCAACTCGGCCCCTTCCGTGTAATGACCTTTTGCCCAGTTGTTACCAGCACCTGAATTTCCTGAAAGCACATTTATAAGGAAAGGAGACTAGAGGTAAGAGGCATATCTACCGAATCTCTAAACAAGCAATTCAAATGTATCTTAAAATGTGAACCTAACTATGCTCAAACACAAATCTTCCTCTTTAACCTCTAAGAAAACTTCAGGCAGCTCAGTTCTGAGCTTGTCTGTACCTACTGGTCTTTCTATCAAGTGCTGGAGAACTTATGGAAACCATTTACAAACTATGTAACCCCGAAACCCTGATTTTCTGACAAAAGTCAGGTTTAGAGTTGTTGTGTAAAGAACACAAGTTCACAAGGTATATAAGCAGGAATGGGATAGAAAAGAGACTTGTGAATACAGAATTTGCAGCTAAGCGTGATACATGTCCTCCTCAAGAACTTTTCTACATTCCTATTCTCACAAAACATTCTCAGATCATGTTTTCTCTATAAGCATGAGGACTAGAAACAACTTTTAAAAATAGAGAGCAGGTAGTTAGTGTTCTGCAACAGCTATATAAGATGCTTTTGAGGTGCTGCCTGGTATACAGCATCCATGCTGTTTACTGACATATTCCTTTATTAAAATCTATTTGTGTTAAGAATGAATCACACATACCATGAATAAAATTATCAGGTCGAAAGAGTGGACCTATTTTGCTGGAACGGACGCTGTCCATCGTTCCTGGTTCCAGGTCTACCAGGACAGCACGAGGAACATATTTATGTGCTGTAGCAGAAGGAAAACAATCCAATCCTGATTAGCACACGCATATCCAGTGCAGGCTTCCCCGAAACAATACATTTTCTCACTCTACACATTTCATTTTGAACACTGTAGCAGAAGTCCCCCGAAGAACCACCCAGAACCACCTTGATGGAGTCATTGCGATATTGACCAGAAGAGAGGGGTTGCCACTTAAGAGGATGTGCATGACTTAGTTTCGGGGGTTTGGCATGCAACAGCTTAGGAGTTGTATTAAGCAGTATATAAGTATCAATAATAAGCAGCCACAGTCAAATGTTCTGCCAGACTTGGATATTCACCAAAGTCTAAGCTAACAGTTGAGGACCTCATGCTTTTTGGGGTGATGCTCAGTGTCCGCTGGACTGATTTCATGGGGGCAGAGGTTATCAGTGGCTCCTAGCCATGCTGGCTATGTGCTGCCCCCATTATCAAAGGTGGCGGGCTTGCATGCTCCAGGTGCTGAGGAGCTTGGGCAGGAGGAGGATTCGCACCCATCCTGCTTGAGGGATCCTGTGGGCAGCTGGTTTGCCACTGTGTGACAGAGTGCTGGACTTTGGCCTGAGCCAGCATGGCTTGTCCTTATGTTCTCATGTTCTGAGATGCTTTCTACTTAGGGCCAGCACCAGTTCCTGGGCAAGGTGCAGTCCAGGACTGCCACACATCCCCTGAGTTGGCTTCCAGTGCCTCAGCCATTCCTGGGGGGGTGGGGGGAGACTCTTTGTGAGCTTGCTGAGAGGCAAAGGGATGCATGGTGGTGCCCCAGTGGGCAGCCAGCATGGCCTAGCTGGGAGCGATGGGAACTGCAGTCTAATACATCTGAGGCTAGGGAAAGCTGCCATAGTCTCTCAGCCTTCTAGTGATGTCTTCAAGTGATGTCCTAGCCATACTTTTCCTACTTGAATATGTAGGTGGCACAGCTTGGCCACCCAGCCCTCATGGAATGCAAGCTGGATCCCATCTCTTGTCGAGCCACCTGCTCGCCTGTAGCGATCTCCCAACAGGCTTGATTCTCTGCTTCCAGCAAAAGAGGAGATTTAGTGGAATTTGCTTCACAAGGAAGCACCACCAGGGCACAAGTATTTATTTCTCGTTCCACAGAAAGCAAAAAGAACCACCAAATGCACCTGATGTTCCCCTCTCCTAGAGAACGGTCAGCATTATTGTCGTTATTACATTACATTTCTATCAAGTGTAGTCCAATCCTATAGATCTGTCTTATACAGAAGTAAACCCCATTATGTGCAATAGAATTTACTCCCAGGTAAATATGGTTTTCCCAGTTGCAATGTATGGCTGTGAGAGCTGGACCATAAGGAAGGCTGAGTGCCGAAAAATTGATGCTTTTGAGTTGTGGTGTTAGAGAAGACTCCTGCAAGTCCCTTGGACTGCAAAGAGATCTATCCTAAAGGAAATCAACCCTGACTGTTCTTTAGAAGGACAGATACTGAAGCTGAAGCTCAGATACTTTGGCCTCATAAAGAGGGGGAAGGACTCACTGGAAAAGACCCTGATGCTGGGAAAGATTGAAGCTGAAAGGAGACGGGACGGCAGAGGATAAGACGGTTAGCCAGTGCCACTGATGCAATGAACATAAATCTGGGTGAGCTCCAGGAAACAGTGGAGGACAGGAGGGCCCGGCATGATGTGCTCCATGGGTTGCAAAGAGTCGGGCACGACAGTCGACCAAACAACAAATGTGCCATAATCTCTTGCAATTTTTCTTTCTGCTGAGCAATCTTCATAAATAATTACAAATATGTATCGAGTTTGGAAACTGAAGATGTTGAGAGTTTTTCGGTTTTTATCTTCTGCTACTGCAGCTGTAAGCTAATTTCCCTGCCCAATTACCAGCAACTTACAGTAGGCTTCATTGAAGTACACATTAAGTCTTTCCTTCTGCAGAGGTGAATCACCACAGTAGTTTCCTGTGGTATCAATTCCATGCTCATCGCTTATGACTTCCCAGAACTGAAAGAGAAAAGCAGAATTTGAGAACAACAACTTGTGAATTCTGTTCTTTGCAGGGGGCAGGGAATGCCTCTTCTTGAGACAGAGGTGGAACCCAAGACTGCACAGAGCCCATGCGCCTGTTCATGCATTAGGGTTTATCCAAACATACAAGAAAGAACATACAACATGTAGGTATTCCAGAAAGGACTACCCCAAAGGAACTTCCAGGGCAAACATACACTAGCATATGCATATGGGGTGTATTTGAGGAATCAGCACTAACAACATAGTTTCCTGAGCAGGTCAGGATCTCATCTTGACAGTCCAAGGCTCTTCTGGTCAGTGTCAGGCTTTGGGTGGGCATATTATGGTGCAGTGCAGGCTCATTTAGTCCTGACCCCATCAAACTATTTTTTAAGGAAGTAGTTCCCCACGAATGCACATCCATCTGTCTCTGTCAGGTCTGGGCTGGGGGAGAACATTTAGGAGTCAGAAAGCAGCTGATTAGTTCCTTTTTAAGCCACTAACTCTGCTGCCCCTGTAACCTTTTCCGTCAAAATCAGTTGCCCTTAGCTCTGAGAAAATGTGCTTGGAATGGAAGTATTAATATGAAAGAAACCATTCTTTGTCTCTCAGAACACTTTCCTCCTACCTCACCGTGCCTCCTCTGCATTTTGTGTGTACATGCATACACATATAAAATCTGTGCTTGAAATATTAATCAAAATAAAGCTGACAAGGTCAACTAGAGGCCCAGCACTGAATCTGCAAGACCACCTCCCCATGGGAAAAGCCCCCCACCTTTTAAAAGGGCCACTGCTTGCCTTCCTGATTCTGCCACTGTGAGCCCCCAAACGTATTTTCATTGGCAGGTATACACTGATGTAGGGAGGGGAGGAAAGCTGCGCATGGACAGTCTTGTGTGAAGATCACAAAAGTTACACCAAGTGTACACTCCAAGTTCTCACCCGCTGAACGTGACTCCGGTTTGATCTTCTCATAGGAGGGTATAGCTTGATGCTAGTAATCATTTTAAAAACATGGTACTGGTAAAAACTATGACTGGGCAATCAAGGAAGGCTTGTTAAAATAAAAATGGCTTCAGCAGATGCCACAAACAAAGCAACATTGGTATCTCCTTAACATCCAGAGGCTTGCAGGGAATGCAAAACATGTGCATCAGCTCCTCCACCTAGCATCAGGAGGATGGCAGCAGCCCGGAAGGCTTTCTGCAGCAAGCAAGCGGTGGCCTGGACAAGGTTCCTGGCATGGGCTTATCTGGACTTCCCACGTGGCCATTCAGCCCAGCTGCCTTTTATCTGGGACACAAATGAGGCGCACCCTCCCTCTGAAGCCATCCATGTTTTAAATGCCTTCAGTTCACAATCCATGCGAGCATAAAATAGTCCCATTTTTCATGCAGCCTCTAATTCGGTGGTTTCCAACCTTTTCCATGCCCCGCACCTCTAAAAAATGTTTGATTTATGTTCATACCCCCTAGAAAAGTGACATCACATTTCAAGATGAAGAAGTCAAATTTGTGGTGTTTGAACCACATACAGTACTGTGGGTGAACAAACAGAACTCAAAAAATAAGCTTTAACTGAGTGCATAAAATTAAAATATAAATTGAGCAATTAGAAAAAATGTGGACCGTACAATCAAGCACAATTGTGAACATAAATTTCAACGACTTCTTTGTTGCTGCTTCTCATTCACGATTTTGTCAAACTGTGGGACTTTCTTGTTGATTGAGATCCATGCGTCTGCCTGTGGATCGAGGCAATTGCTAGATTTTGTCTTGATTGACAAAAGAGAACTGAATCCAAATGCAAACAAAATATGGTCTTGTGGCATCAGACTGAAGTCTCTAAGCCATAGTCATATTTCTTTGAGAGCAGGGCAGGAAATGTTGGGCATCCCTGTTTGTCCTTGGCATCTGGGACTCTAAGATATACTGTCCCTGATGTGGAGGTTCGACTCTGTTGCTATGGCTCTACCCACTGACTAGATCAAGGCATCCTCCGCTGCTTGCTTCTGCAATCCTATGCATATTTAGACAGAAAAAAATCCTACAATTCCCAGCATCCTCCAGTCAGCACTGCTTACTGGGGAATGCTGGGAGTTGTAGGACTTGTCTCTGTCTAAGCATGAATAGGTTTGCACCTTCTGGATACAGCAAGGACTGTCGTCTCAGCATGCAAAGACGTGTTGTCATTTCCTACCAGCCCTGTTTAGGAAAATGTTTCTCTGGATAGACTGTATTAAAAGAAATCATCAGGTCCCACCCTGAGCTGTTTATCTTGCTGAATTCTTCTTGCCAAAAGCGTCCCATTACCAGGCAAAACAGCTTAGGCACAAAAGCAATGTGGGGCGTTCCCCACTCCAATTTCTTTCACTGCAGCTGCAGTCCTAAAACGTCCTTACTGGGAAGGAGGAAGCGCCAGTGAACACAGTGGGCTTCCTGTTAATTGGAATAATGGAAGCGTATGGCTGGAAGGGGCAGAGGCCACCTGATCCAGTCCCCAGCTCAGTGCAGGACTCCAAGTTAAACCACCCCGGCTGCATCTCGCATGCCTCCAGGGTCTCCCTAGGTCACTGGCTCTGTCAGGACGCTTTTCCTGATGCCCACACAGAATCTGGCTTCCTGTAGCTTCACCCTGTTATTCTGCGTCCTGCAGTCTAGGATGATCAAGAAGAGATCCTGGCCTTCCTCTCTGTGGCAGCCTTTCAAGTGCGTGTAGAGTGCTTTCCTATCTCCCCTCAGCCTTCTCTTCTCCGGGCTAAATATGCCCAATTCTTTTATTCTCTCCCAATAGGGCTTTGTTTCCAGTCCCCTGATCATCCTTGTTGCCCTCCTTTGAACTTTGTCCAGAATGTCTGCATCTTTCTTGAAGTGTGGTACATAAGTATGAATGTTTTGTAAATCGTGGATTCTAATGTGAACTGATTCACCCTCCTCTGTATGAGACGCAGGTTCGGGAGCAAACACCCGCAGGTGGTCTCTCCCACAGTGAGTTGGCCTTCTCACCACCCTCCTCACTGGTTGCCCTTGCTCATCATCCTCCTCCCTATCCTTGCTATCGCTTGTGTGTGTGGGTGCGTCCGGGAGAAGATCCTGTGGACAAGCAGTGTGTGGCATCTGCTGCCCCTCCTTGTTACGAGGACTGGGGCGAGAGGCAAGGGAAGGAGCCAGTTGCAGTGGGGCAGGGGAGAAGCAACTCCAGGGGCTTTTTGTCAGTGGGCCTCTGTGGGACAGTGGGCTCTTGGCAGGTACCCAATCATGCCTACCCTTGATCCTAACCCTGATGAGATGGTGAGAATGGGGTTCCTCCAGACAAAGAGCACCTGTGTAGCTGCTTGGGCATTTCTTTCTTACAGATGATCTGCCTCAAGAGATGGAAGAAACAGTGGGAAAGTGTGGGAGGTTTAGAAGTTAAAGAGGGGTTGCTTGAAAAATCTCATGAATGAAGCACCCTACAAGCCTCATCGGGAAGCATTGCCAGTTCGGCCAGTGGGTGCCACCCGGATTTCTTCTCCAAAGTGTGGACATGCTGGTCTGCATCCACAGGAACACAAAAGCAAGCTTCAGCGGGGATCCTTCCAATCTCATTTGTGAACCAGTTCATAAGTGTAATCCTGGCAGTTTTGAGCATCTGCTTATCTCATTGCCCATATGGGGGTCAGTGAACTTAATGAGCAGCTATAGGTTTCAGGGAAAAGAAATCCACTTGGAAGGCCAAGGCAAATTTGGCTGAATGTTACTATAGCTGATTCACTGTGATGCTTCAGCCTTCTTAGCCTTTGCATTTATTCAGCAAATATTCTCACTGCTGTTTTATGAGTTCATTTCTTCCTACTCTTACACTGCTTCCAATTCATTGTGCTGCAAGGCAGGTCTCAAAGGCAATTAGACAAATTAATGGCGGTGGAGGGGGATCTATCAATGGGTGCTAGTCCTTATGGATTTCCCAAGCCCTAATTTCTAGAATTGATATGTTTCTGAGTACCGGTGCCTGGGGAACAACAGCAGAAGCTGGCCACTTCCCTTGTGTCCTAGTTAAGACTCCCTAGAGCAGATTGCTGGCATTCATTGCAAACAAGATCCTGGATTATGTCCATGGACTGGTGGTTTCACCCAGAAGTTCTCATCTTATATTCTCACATACTCCAAGTCTGATTCTATTATGTTAAGCATGGAGCAAACTTCAGTGTGGTGCTGACTCCATGTTGTTCCAAATTTCCATCAAATCCCATCAAAGTTCCATCAAATTCAGTGGCATCCCAGTGACTTTTAGAAGCATCATTAAAAGCAGCATCTTACCTTAGCTCCGATTTGGTTTCCACACTGGCCAATCTGAACATGCACAATCTCACGCATTTTGCACAAGGTTCAGTGTTAAGCGTTCACTCCACTTTTCTGGAACAAGTGATCACCCGTGCGATGTCAGCAATGAGAAGTGTCTCATCTGCAAATTGTGACTTGTATAGTGAATATCAATGTCATTTAAAGACAACCACCAATTAACAAGGGGAGTTTCTGGCACCTCCCATTCCATTCTGCTGAGTAATGGGAGTTCTGATACGGCCTTTACAAGGAACTCCTCCAAAGCTGCCTTTTAAAGATTCACACCCCTGTTCGTGCAGACCGACGGAATCCCATGTCCATCTCAAATATGCTGAACATCCAAGACAGAGAGAACACAGTGGCAGAGCACAGAAGTTACTCCACTGTGTTATCTTCCAAACTCCAATGGCTGGTTGGGTTGCCGTGCTTTTCTCCAAGTGCATCAAGAGGACTAGGCAGCTGTAGCTTATTCTGCTCTAGTGACTGCAAGTAAAAGGGCTATGTGAATGCTTTTTGTGCAACACTTGCATGAATCGGTTTTTGTCCATGGCTTGTGTCTCCTCCTGCCTACATGGATCATGCAGCCCCCAGCTGCTGGCTCCAAGGAACCCTGCTCAGTCAAACCAGAGCCACCTGTGTCCAGTATTGGTCATCCAGATGACTTTGGAGTCTAACAAGTCAGGGATGAATGGCTTCCCCTGTTTTGATACCCAGTGGTAGGTATTTGGTCCCTGAACATGTAAAGCCCATACAAGCCTCATGGGCATTTCTATTGCCAGTGTACCCATCTCTTTTCTACTGGTCCTGCTCTTCGATATCCAAGCTGTAAGAATGCACTTTATCAGCTAGGGTTCATTAACAGCTCTGTCTCTCCTTGGCAGATCCTGGTCAGGGCATAATGCCAACTGCTGAAATCTGATAAGAATATTATCATAACCCCTATATAGGCTGTATAACGTAAAGTCAGTCCCTGAGCTCAAAGCACCCATGCTGTCTCCATCATTCCTTATCCAAGTTCAATTGAATGATAAAGACTGATCATAATGGAAATCCTTCATCATCCTTAAAGTTGCCCATCCACAGACACAGCCCTCCCACTGCTGGCAAGACGTCTCATGCTCTATGTAAATGATTCTAATTTCTTCAACATTTGTTTCTGTACTTATGCAACCACATCTGCAAATCCACATCATCTTGGTTAGTGAAGTCCACCTCTCCCTCCCTCCCTCCCTCCCTCTCTCAGGGGAGCACTGCATATGTGGCCAATCTTTAAGTATAGAGAGCCAGGACGTCACCTTTACAATAACCCTCTATTAGAGGGGCCGATGGGTGTGGGGCTTATGCATTTAATTCAGCCCACCACCCACCCTTTCCCCAATAATTCAAGCCCTGATGACCACATCAAGTGTGCCTGGGAGGATCAGACCCAAGAAAAAGTTGAGGTGGGACGGTGGTTGCACAAAGCAAGCCTTGCTGGAAATGAGCTGCTTTGTGAGACCAGCAGCATGCCCAGAAAGCACGGCTTCTCCTCCTCCTCCTCCTCCTCCTCTTGAGAAGGTGGAGGAACAAGTTTCTGCCTCTTCTGATTCAGCCTCTGTAGAGGGTTGGAAGGAGAGGTGGCTCTGGACCTTTTTTCCCTTTGCTCCTCTGAATGCACTTCTGAAAGCAAAGCTTCCTGCCCGCCGGGCACCACGGCCCAGCCCTTGTGGAAGCCACAGCAAAATATGTCCGCTTCTGATAGGAGGGAGGTCTGCCTATCTCCCTGGCGGCTGACAGCCTTTGCCTGCAGGAGGTCCTCCTGGCACCTCTCCACAGTGGCCCTGAGGGACGGTGTAGCAACGCAACTTTTGTGCAAGCTTGCACTCAGTGATATGAAGGCGACATTAAGCACTTGCTCTGTTGGGACTGTGGCCTGGAATTGCTTCCAGACACATTCTGAGACCAGGAGCATGGAAGGCAATGTGGGAATGGCTGGGGGAAGGGTCACCAGGACACATCCCTCCACCCCAAGAAAACAAGACCATTTGTTGATTTGTGTAGCATTTGCCTATGCGAAGTTATGTGTCTATGTTATTTATCATTACAGAAAGGAAGATTGACTGGATCCATGTGGCTTGACAACCCAAAGTCTGGGCAAGCACAGTGTGTGGTCATGCAGTGCAAACCTGGACCACTTCCCACAGGGTGGCTTGTTCATGGGCAACAAGCCAGCCTGACAACACTTGTCTTGCTATAGGGGTTGTTGAACTCAAAGGGGGTTCCTAGGTTGCCCAAGCCCAGGTGATTGCCCCCTCAGCGAGAGCAGCAAAAGCCCCTCTTCATTCTTGCCAAGCTTGCCCAACCTGCTCCCACTGACAGTGCTTGCTCAGCTGTGCACTTCTGTGGGTCCAAAATTGGCAGCTCCACCTGGGCCACATCGTGGAGGTGTCTGCTCCCAAAGTGCAGTAGGGACCCACTGTGGACATCGACCCAGAGAGAATGCTAAGAGAGCTTGTTTGTTTTAATTGGCTTACTCCTGAAAACTGTCAAAAATAGATTGTCATGAGAAAGCAAAGCTATGAGTGCTCTTTTTGCAAAAGGTGATCTTCTAAATTTATCTTCAGATGAACACTCTTCTCAGTGTCCTGAAGCTTTCCACCCTTTCTCAAAACTCTAGGTGTTGGGGAAAATATGAAAGTGTAATCCACCTCTTTTTACAGGAGCACTGGGCTTTGACAGTTGCTAATACTCAAATTTCCTATTGAAAATGGACTTTGAGTTTTTTTCCACAAGGGCATAAGCATATACATTTCTTTATGTCCCTGTCAAAATGCCTGAAGAGCTCTGCAAATAGCCCCACTTTAAAAGGAAGCCTGAGTTTTGACAGCTGTCAAAACTCTGTGCTCCCATAAAAGGGTTGGCTTGTGCTTTTCCACTTTCCCAAGCATCTAGCACCTTGAGCAAGGATAGAAAATATGGAGGGCACCAAGAAGAGTCAAGTCCAACCAAAACAGTGGAGGCTCTCACAGCAAAAAAAAAACCCTGATCTAATGCCCACCCCTTTTTACAAGCAAATATCGTGTGCCTTTTGACAGCTGTCAGGGGAAAGCCAAGTTAAAAAACAAAAGCAACTAAAACCCTTTAAGCTAAAATATGGTTGTACTTTTGCTGTTTTTGGCACCCCCTCTTTTTGTGCATCGGCCTTTCCCCCTTTGCTTTATTCCTGCTAACTGAATGCTGACCCTGAGGACTTCTCTGAAATAGAACTTGACCCTTGAGCTACATGTAGTTCCATGCTCCTGATATGGGGCATGGCTAGACACATGCAGAAGGAACCTTGTGTGCTGTCCTTCCCTCAACTTTGGCGAGTTTCCTCCCTTTCTGTTATTTCGTACCATGATTTGTGCTTGCGACAGCTCTTTGGAACTTCAGCTGGTACATAAGTGTTGTTCCTGGTTCCCAACCCGGCGATCTCCAGATGTGTTGCACTACAACTCCCAGCATGGCTGGCTGGGGATATGGGGAGTTGTAATCCAGCACATCTAGAGAGCACCAGCTTGGATCATGCTGCCTTGATACGCATCCACATGAACTGGAAGACAACTATTTTCTTGAAAGTAGCGTGACTAGATTTTGCCTGTATTGAGCATTCACACACAAAACCCTTTCTTCTTTACCTTTTTTTAACAACCCCCCCCCCCCACAATCTTTTCCAAGCCATAGTGGCCTTTGAATATAACTAGCTAATTTTCCACCAGCAGGACTTCCATGTGTTGCTCACTGATAAGGAACAAGGGAGTTTACATTTCTAACATTGCTCCTAAGGATATGGTTGAAGAGGTAGTTTGGCTATAATTATATTTCCTTTGAAAATAATTGTGTCATCTGGGCAGTGGAAGATGGAGGAAGAAAGACAGCTAGGGAGGAGCCGGGTTGAAGTTTACAGAATTCTGAGCAGTGTGGAGGGTAGATAAGAGTCACTGCTGACAGCCTGGGTACACGCAAAAATACGAAGCCTGCGGAAGTGTGTATTATGGGCCAAAAGAGGTGCTGGCCAGCAGCAGTGGCAGCTCGCTCAGGAGGGAGGGTAGCAGAAGGGAGGCCCCGCAAGACGGGCTCCGGATGCTGCGCACTGCCTCCCCCACTGCATGCTGAAGGGGGCCTGGCCAGTGGCTCTTCTGCCATGGCACTTGCAACAGTGGCAGAGTGGCCGGGAGTGGCTGCAGGGCTGGGGTGGCCCCTTCGTTAAAGGAAGGGAGGCCTGATGGAAAAGAGGGCCGGATGCATTGCAGCAGTGCACAATGGGAGGAAAGGGCCTTTCCAGCAGGCCTGATGTGGTGGCACAAGGTCTTTCCTGCTTCGGGAAGCCAGAGAGCTCGCGCCAGGCTGTGACTCCAGGGTCCCGAGGGCCCTTGGGCATGGCGCCCTCCATGGCTCCCTCTCTCAGAAATTCTGCTTCCTCGCCAGCAGTGCCGCCGACTGCCTCCACATCTCCTCCTTGTTCTCATCAGAGCAGCCGCTAGAGAGCCAGGGAGCAAGGGGGCAGCAGCATCCCTGGCTCCTTCTCCGCACCCCGTTGTCTGGCGGGGAGCAAGCTGATTGCACTGGTGATGCAGAGGAGCAGCTAAGGGCCCGGCCAACCATGCCTGCCCTAGACACTGGCCTTGGCACCAGCTGAGATGGCTTGCGAGGACAATCGGACCCCTTCAGCCAGTCAGGGGCGGCTCTTTGCCCATGGCAGACAAGGGGCAAACATGAACGTCCAGCATCGCTTTGGCTGAAAGGAAGCTGCGGGGAAGATGCGTCAGCCAAGACCTGGGGAAGGGGCTGGGTGGGCGAAGACAGACCGAATGCAGGTAACTGTGCTTCCTGCTCCCCCTGCAACCTCCCAAACACCTACTAGCACCTGGGAGGAGGGGGGTTGATCACCAAAATGGCACCACTGGAAAGAGTCACCCTCCTCCAGGCTGTGTATTTAGCAGGAAAAAAAATATGTGCTTGGTTTGATCTTAAATGGAACTTTCCTGTTCAGAGAAAGTATTTGTTTTGTTCATTTCATTTCATTTCTATCCCACTGTTTTTCCTTTCACGGAAATCAAGATCGCTTACAGAATTCCCCTCCTCTCCGTCTTATCCTCACAGCAACAACCCTGCGAGGTTGGCTGTGCT